CATCCGAAGAAAAATTTCCTCTTTTACCACAGAAAGTCCTTGATGAGAAGTACTTCAATTAATCTCTTAAGAATGCTAGCACTAATAATTGCACTATAAGAATTAAAAATATGAGAAAATCAAAGATAGAAAGAATAAAATATATCAGTCCCCGCGTAGAACGTACGGGCAAACTGATTGCGACCAAATTTCAGTAGCCAACCAGACAACGGGCAAACCAGTTAAGGGGTAAAAGAAAAGGCAGAATAAAAACAGCTTTTTTAATTTTGAAAATATTAAAGTAAATTAGATTAGAGTAAATATTCACTGAAACTTACTTTTAGAAAATTTACTGTATCGATTATTTGGTTCATTTGGGAAAAAATTTATTGAAATACTTCAGGCTTAGTTTCACACAAAAACAATTTTTCATAAAATGTTCCCTGTCGGTTAAAAATAATTTCTTGAGTCCAGGTTAATTCTTTTATTATTCTTTATATAAAAATGTAAAGAAACGAACAACACAATTTCATAAATATTGCATTAACTCCATTGAAACAAATTTGTGTGAGGAGATATTCTGATAATTAAATAGTCGTTTACGAAACAGCAGCAGTAAAAATGTGCTTATAACGTCATCAAAGGAAATAAATTAATCTGAATTGTGGATAAAAACAATTAGAAGGAAAGAAAAGAAATAAGGAATTCAGAAGATTACATAAAATCAAAAGACATATTTAAAAATATACAAATGTGTAAAAATTGAATGTTTTAGAACTTTTTAGTTAATAGTGGTTTTTGTTTTTCTATAGATGAATTTATAGTCTCGAGGTATTAGATGAGTCCTTATAAAGTGTTTATGGAATTTTATAAAAGATCTAAGCATATATCTTAGATACTACTATTTGAATTTTATTTTTATATTTTCATAATATATATATAGTTCAGTTTTGAGACCACATTACATACCACATGTATTATATAGGAAAAAAGTACAGATGACAGAAAATAAACACATACAGGGAGACGTCAATTTTAAAATCACTTTTAACTGTATCTGGCTTGCTGCTTTATTTTAATTTCTTAGCAGTTGCATGTAATTATGCACAAATAAGTCTAAGGAGAATGTTTTTAAAAACAGAATACACATTTGTGTTGTACAATTTAACAAAAATAAATTACATTTTCAAAAGTTTTAATTTTTCTCATTTTCTAATAATAACAACACAATAAATGTGTAAGCATTAAGAAGGTATACATAATGAGATGTTTATTTAAGAATTTTTTAAAAATTAATACTGTTTTATCCTATTAAAAAGTATTATAAAAGCATAAATGATGATCAACCAATGAATTGGAATTCAAATAGCTTAATATTAATAAACAAAAATAGAAGAGAAGTAAAACAGAAATACATTCGTTACATATAACTAGTTATAATACATAAATGCTTCATCATATTCTTTTAGATTTTTTTTTTTTTTTTGCTTCGTGAAGAATTATTTCTACCAAAACAATTTCAAAAGTTATGCACTGTATTGTGTTCACTCTTACTAATAATTGTTAAATTGTATTCACTGTTATAAATAATTGTTAAATTGTATTTACTCTTATAAATATCTTATCTCTAAAAAATTTTAATATATATATATATATATATATATATATGTTCAAAGTTATTTTTATTTGTTAATAAAATACTTTCTTTTCATCCGTTCAACATAAGAATTGACTTAAAATTTTTTGTATATTACTTGTTTCAATATTTTCCTTCCAAAAAACCAAAAAAAAAATTGCAAAACTCACTTATTTTTTTTCTCTCATTTTTTGATAAGTGATACATGTATATTTTACTTTAAAATTATTATAATAGGAGCTTTACGGCGAAAGAAAATTATTAAACCTCACACATCTAATACACTTTGCTAAATTAATTATACACATCTCTTACAATTATTGCATTTTTTTAAAAAAATTATTAGCCTTCCAAATTTTTGTTGATATTTCCGTGCTATCTAAAAAATAATCATTTGTCGATTGCTTGCAATACATCCAAACAGTAATTTCTTGTAATTATAATTAATAAATGTAAACATTATTAAACATTATTAACAGTGCAAGGAATATTTCTACATGTCTAAGGAGATATTAGAATTGTTGTTCTGCTTCCAACATATTTGCACATATTCTCTAAACCGTTTCCTTTAAAATTTAAGAATTGTTTTACTAATCAAATTGAAGGTTTATTTTTTTAAGATATGTGTAAAGAAAACATCTTATAGAATAAAACTTTTCCAGTACTCCTAAGTCTATTGAAGGGAAATTATTGAAAAATGTGTATTAGAGGCAAAAACGGGAGGAAAAATATTTAAAATACAGGAGGAGTGCGAATGATGTACCTGGATTTAAAAAATCATGTAATCGAAACTACTGCACATATTGCAATAAGTGATACATGAATACAAAGAAAAATATACCAAGTTTTTTTCCCTGTTAATAATGTACGATGTGTGACCCTTTTGTTATACAGCATACGTCCAATCTACATTTCTGTTCATTCCGTACATTTTGCAGTATAACTCTATCAATGTTTCGTATTTCTGCACAAATGCCTACTTGACATTTTCTGCTATCTCTTGTGTCAATTGCAAATGATACGTATTGAAATTAAATTGTTCTCGAAAAATGTTCCATACTGTTTTCTTTGGCATTCCATGTCAACTCTCGTAGAATTCGAATAAAACAGAGCATCGCTCTCTCCGCTGTTTTTCCAAGCCACTCCTTTTCTTTTTAACTAAGTAAATAATTTTCTTAAATTGATTATACCATCGTGAAATGTTCCTGTTAGTTGGTGCTTCTTTTCCGTAGGGATTTATTTCTAAATGACTGTAGCATCGAAATAACTGAAAAAGTAGCGCATACTTTAATGTGCAAAAACTATTCTCTGCCATTGTCTCCATGTTTTAATTTCTATCCCAGGCAGTAAATAAATATTTTAATTTATAAAATAGGGAATGTATTAATGCTGTTGGAAAATTGTTATTTCAGGAAAGTCATCGGGGAAAAAAAACTACTAAATTACGATGCTCCCTCATCTTTCATTGTTTATTTTGCTAATTAACAAGTAATATAAAAAAACCTAAGTCAATTCCTACTTAGGTCAACAAAGAAAAATTTTGTTCTGGTTAATTTTTATTAAATAATTACAATTAATTTAAATATGTATATACATATGACAGAATCAAAATATTAAGGTAACTGGGACGTCTGCAAGAAGGAAAATTGAACTTTTTTTGCACCAACTTTAAATGGTTCTCACTTACTTAAATTTAAAGAAACGGATATAAAATTTTTACGTTGAATTATCTGTATATATTTATGTACTTGTTAATGTAAAAAAAAATCATTTTAAATTATAAATAAATCTGTAAGAGCAATAATTATACAATAACTATTTTTTTTTTATTTTCAAGCATGTTCTAACCTTTACGTACACTTTGTATAAAATCTACTGCATATATAGCTATAAAATTTCACGGAGTTTTTGTAAACATAACGATCCATAAATGGAATTTTAAATGGAACGAAATGGAATTTTAAAATATACATTTATAAAAATTTTAATAAATTTTAAATTTAGTGATTTAAATTTCCTTTAAATTTTATGCAGAAATTCTGCTATAACTGAAATTTCTGAATGTTTATTTGAAAACGAATTCATTCACTTTGTTAAAAATAATTTGTTAATTTTGTATTATGCAAAATATCAGCACTATACGTAAAGTAGATTTTCAGGAAAGTGTACTGGAATTACAAAAAAAATGCATTTTGATAAAATCGCAAATAAAGGTATTTTCATCTATGAATTGTACAATAATATATTTTAATACAATATAAAGTCATACCATTGTTAATTCGATTATTTTGCATCATTTCTCAGTTTTTAAATTGTAAGTTTAAAATTCTAGATTCTTTAGAAATCTTTTTAATTACCCTTTCCCTACTTCATCAGCAAGTGTTATCATCTTTTTCCATTTAAAATATCAAAGTTTTATGTCCATAAGTTTTAGTATTTTTACTTCTTTTTGAACACCATCATTACAGGATATTACAAAATAACTTACACATATTTTTATTGTGATAGAAATACACAAAAAAAAATGTCTTTGATGAATTTACGAAGTTAATTTATGTATAATTTAAATGGAACTCAGTTTTTAAAAATTATAACAAAATAATCTCTGTTTTTGTATTCAGACATATGAATATTTATTTATTTTAATGTAAAACCAAAAGTAATAAAGTATAGAGTTATTCATGAGCATTCAAACGTTAAAAATAAGCAGCTAGAAAAAAGAAATGTCTATTTTACACACACAAGCTGTGTATTTAATTTAAAATAATTCTCAAAATCTACATTGTACCATATCCACTTGATTTATTATTTAAAAACTACACTGAGTATTTATAAATGCAAAACTAGACATAGTTAACATTTCAAAAAACAAAATTTTTTTTCAAAATTTTGTAAGAAATTATTTAAATTTTCCGTAATTTTTGCACAAAAAATGTACAATTTTCAATAAATTTGAGCATATAATACAGAAAAATTACATTCTTCGGATAGAAAAATTAGTTTGTTACAATACATATTGAATACACTACGGATTTTGAAGAAAGTGTACCTCAATCACAGTTACATCACATTTGCTTACAATTTTAAAATTCAATTTTCTAGCGTTCTTTTGATCAAATTCCCATAAATAACACATCTATAGAAGCAGCAAAGTGCCCTCTATTTTTTAAAAGTAAAATAAAAAAATGCAAAATTTAAAACACCTTCACGTCCTCTCTAGTTACCTTAACTGGCAAAATCGATTTTCCTAGCAATTTTCCATTTTCCTTTCTATACATGGTGTTGGACAATTATAATTTGTTTGTTACTATTTATTCATTCATTAAATTTAATTATTCCAACAAAAGAGTTTAATAAAATGAAATCATATTATCAGAAATTAGGCCATTCCAGGTGGGATTCGAGCCCACGACCTTTGAACTAGAAGTCCAACGCGCTACCCATTGCGCTAAGGGATACAGTGAGCGATCTTCCATAAATATGGTTTTGGAATATTATTTTAGTTTGTTACTAGTTGTTCATTAATTAAATAGAGCTAAGGAATTAATATTTGAAAAAACTCTATTAACGTCAAGTTTCATACACTACAAGTTTGAAAAAATGTTTTTGAACATGAGTGGATGAATAAAAATTATTTTATTCAAGACTAAAAATTTCAACAAGATATATATATATAAAGAAATGAAAATAGGGAGAGTGTGAAAACTAATAGTAGGAATTAAAAAAAGAGCATGATTTGTCTGCATTGTTGTAACCATGCACACCTGGTTTGGCTAGTTTGGCTAAAAAAACCGATTTTCAACACCAACTCTTACCATTGTTTTAACAGTTACATTGTTACAACAATGGAGATAATTCTAAATTGGCGTCGAAAATCGGCAATTAATTAAATTAAGTAACTAGTAATTAATATATCAATAATTAATAAATTCATATTAGAAAAAACTGTGTTAACATCAAGCGTCATCCACTACAAGTTTTAAAAAAATTATTTGAATTTGATTGGATGAATAGAGAGTATTTTATTGAGGACTGAAACTTTTAACAAGATATATATATATATATATATATATATATATATATATATAGGGAGAGAGTAAGCTAATAGTTGGAATTGAATAATAGGTTACATTCTATGATCCAAATTTTTTTTTGTTTAAAATAAGTTTTTTCCTTCAATATGCATCAGGGAGTTAGTATTTTTATTTTTAAAATTATTTCCCTGTGTATTTTAATTACTGGCTAATTACATTATTTAATAAAAAAAAATTACCTTTCTTTTTATTTTCATTGAAACGGTCATAAGAAATGAGATTTCTTTAGATTATAAAATGGTTATGTTTTTTTTTTAAATCTTTCAATTATAAGTTATTGGTAAAACATCCATATATGTATATTTAGCTAGAATTTGAGTAACATTTTCCACATCGATTAAGCTAAAAAAAATTATAATACAAAAAAAAAACTCGTAGAAGTTGCGAAAATATGTTACGATCATAAAAAAGGTACATTTTTTAAGTGGAAATTAAATTGAGAGAAATGAAAGCGAAAACGCAATTCTTTTTTGTTATCGCACAAAAAAGAAAGGAAGAAAAATAATTTTTTTTATTGTTGAAGTTTTTTATGGGAGTTTTAAAACCATTGACGCATCTAGGCACTCAGTCTAATGTAAAATTAATGCGTAACATCAGCCAGTCTATTTTTACATCATGCCAGAAAAAAAGAACATTTTATTGTTGTCTTTTCGCTTTAAAGTAAAATCATTTCTCCAAACATCTCCGCGGGTTCCAATTAGATTTAACTCTATTCTCTTACGTGTAACTTTTGGTAATTACTCCAGCATAATTTTCCTTTAATTTTTAACGTCATATTTAAAAAAACCTTGCATTTTTTAAATGTCTTAGAACATATCTCTGGGGGAAATTAAGTTGAAGCGAAAGGAAAATTGCAATGAAAAAGAATGAAGTTATTGATGTATAAAAATAATTTCATCTTCTTTTTCTCTCATTTTTTTTTGCATTTTTGAAAAAAAGGAACTAATTGTCGCAAAAAAAACCTACCAAAATACATGCTTTTTAAAATTATTTGCTTTTTAAACATTAACGAAGAATTTGTTTTTCTCAAGAACAAATTACTTAATATGTAAGTAAATATATCTTTAAGATATAATTTCGATATTTAGAATAAGTTCATGCAATAGCCGTTAATTCAGTCCAAAATTTACGAAGGCCTTTTTTCAATACATTTGCAAATGTAAAAAAGAGCTTTCTTTTAGACTTTGATAATTTTAAGTGACTTCAAAATTATTAAAGTTTGAAGATTGTTAGTGATGTATGCAAGAAAACACATATTTGATATGTATATAAATTTAAATGTTTTCTTAAGAAATGTTGGCTAGGCACAGCAATAACAAAGATCATTCACATGAGGTTAAGGTGTCCGAACACGTTAATATGACCAAATTCAGTCAAAATACCTGTTTTTTGTATTTTATTTTATTGATAAGTGTAATCTTTTGGCTATAGAAAACATTATTCTTTTCTTTTATTTCTTTCTGTACTACCTAGAGGTAAAGTTACAATCAATTTTATAAAATTAGAAAAACCTGAAACAGGTCTTTAATTTTCCAGAAGTGGACATTTAAATTGTGTTTAAAATTTGTCATTGCTCGTCTAATGGCTCAAAATATTACAACCCTATATTTATAACAGTTTTTGAATTATGGCCTGTTATTTAAATAATGGTATCATAAAGAATATCCCGTTTCTTGTAATATTTACTCAATCAGCTCTAATTTTTTTAATTTTAATAAAACGTTAATATTTTTGTACATTTTTCTCTAATTGCTTTCAAATTTTTCAAAATTTTGTTAAAATTCCACTTAAAACTGTAATTTTTGTAAAATTTAGATATTTTTTTCAAAATATTGTTAGTTAAATATTAGTATTTATCAGAGTATCGATTCCTAAAAAAGCATTTATAATTTTTTAGTATGCTATTTTCATTAAAAAAAAGTACACCGAACGTGTTTGAGGATACCTTAAATAACAACTAATAATTCAATGAGAGAAAACAATGAACAGTTCAGTTGCAAAGAACCTCTGAACAATACAGAAAATTTTCAAATCGCAAACGAGAGGTTGGGCACTATAAGCGAAAGTAGATATTATTTTTCTTACTGTAGAGCAAATGAACATCGTAAAAAGGTATTTCAAATACCGATCATATAGAATGGGGATCCGCGTCATTTAAAAATATAGAGATTACTCTCAGGGTTAAAAGCAAAAACAAAAATCTGTAGATTTCCATCCCCCCATTTAAAAAATGAGACTTTCAGTGCTGCTAAATTTGAAACTACTGTTGAATTAGTGAAAGTCCTAGAAGAAAATAAGATTCTAAATAATAGAAAATTAGCTAAAATGTATTGAAATAATGAACTCGTTGCCATAATGAAAATCGCAATTCACAGGAACGTTTCTAAATTACTTCCAAAATGCCAAGAATTAAATATATATTGCGATGCAGGAGAAATTTGTCAAATGAACATCACAACTTCATCAGTAGACTTAATATTTTGTTTTATTCCAGAGTCGAAAAACGCAGGTTGACTTAATGTTGGCATACAAAGTCAATTTTAATACAATTAGCTCAGTGGCGTAACGTACACCCACGCAAATCCGGATCGCAGAGGCCTTGGATTCTAGGAGGCCCAAAGCCAGTTAAATGCCGTTTTGAAGATCCGGCTTGGGCCTCCAAGCCTGACTTTGCAGGGGGAGCTGGGCTAATATTCGCTGTTACGTCACTGAATTAGCTTTATAAAACTATTCACGTCCAATTGATTCTTGGAATTGGATGACCTGTCGAGAATAGCAATCTTTATTTACGAACTATTCTCAGACGCTTACGCCTATGTGTAAAAGTCATAAAGAGTCTTCCGGTAGCTTTAATTCATGCTACTGGAATGAAATTGGATTTTCAACTTTCTATTGTTAAATACCGTTCAGATTTTTTGATGACCTAAATTAGTTTTATTTACTAAACGGTAACGGTACTACCACAATGATGAGCCTAAGTATTATCATCCTCAAATTACAGCATTTGGAGTATCAAAATCATACTACATTATCTGATGTCCAATCATAGTACAAAGTAATCTATAATGGCCTCCTTTAATCCAGTGTAAATATGATGTAGTTGATCTTGTTTCTTGTCTGGAGGTGGTGTAATAACTCTTTACGACAGTTTAAAAATTCGGCAGCATTTTTTTTTTCGGTAAGGAGAAGAAATTGTCACAAATATTGCCCACATGTTCAGTAGATTCACAAGATTTGTCGTATAAGTGAAGGAATATATGACGCGGAACTTTCCAGAAAAAGTCTTTATCCTAAGCTTATAAACCAGTTATAAATAGAAAAACATCTAATGAACACTTAAAAAAATTAACTCTTATGGTGTTCATTTTGCAAAAACTAACTTCAAATTATAATGATTATATTGGGCTAACTAAAAACCTCCTTTTTACAAATTCTCTGACGCGCAAATTATGTTACTTATGATACTCCCACGTCTTTTCCCGCGCGAAGCCTGATATAATGTATTTCCAACAATTATATAATTTCATTCTCATGTTACCTCTTATCCTTTCCCTCTCACACTTTTTTCTTTTTTTTTCCTTTTCTTTTCGTTTCATTACATCTTCTCTTTTTTTCCTCTTCTCCATCTCATTCTCTCTTAACCAAATTAAACATATCATATGAGGGTGCATATAAATGTACAACACAAAACTCTCTAATATTCTTTAAAAATAATGTTACAGGAGTTCCTCCACTCTTGCAATTCTGGAATTACAATCAACTCGCTTGTGTGAACTTTATCCCACACTTAATGAAATATATCCATTTAGCCAGAATTGCGTCGCTAATGCTCTGAACTATCTCTTATCAGGCCATGAACTTAACCTAGAGAGCAACATTTCGTCTTTCCTCATTATCGTTCGGCAAAGGGAAGTGGAAACTTGAGCACTTAGGAGGAGTGAGAGTCATTAGATTTGGTGGCAAATCGGATGGCAAATTGGGTACCCTTCTGCAGAAATGAGAACATTTGTGTTCCTTTGGATCGATACAACCGTAAAAGTTGTACCTGGAGAAATGACCAAGAAATAAAAGGGAAAAGCAAATATTGCCCCATTAAATTCCTTAGGTGCCAGCTGTTAGTGATACATTTTGGAGTGGTGAAATTATCTGTGAACGTAATTCGTGCTTTAAATTGGGTTGCATTTTTTATGAAAAATTGGTACATATAGAGCAATGAAGATTTATGTCTTTATTTTATGAGTTTTTTTTTTATTATTTAAATAGGTTTTGCTTTTAAAATGACTCATAATGATTTGGATTAGCTTCATTGATGACGACATTCAATTTAATCACTGAAAAATGTTCATATAAAAATTGTTTGAAA